CCCTGTACCTGCATGTTCTCCCCCCCCCCTGTACCCTGTGCCCACATGACCTTCCCTCCTCTGTACCCTGTGCCTGTATGTCCTTCCCCCCTCTGTGCCCTGTGCCAGCGTGTCCTTCCCCCCTCTCTACCCTGTGCCCACATGACCTTCCCTCCTCTGTACCCTGTGCCCGTGTGTGTTTCTCCCCCTCTGGCTTTGTTCGGGACCCACGACAGCGGTGTGGACTGTGGTGCCCCCTCAGCCCTTGGACGGCACCTGGTAGCCCCGGCCTGGAGCTGACTCAGAGGAGCATTTTCTCCTGTGGACTTGGGGGACGAGGGGGACTCTGAGGGCAGGGGCTGCAGGTCTGTGAGGTCGGTGGGCAGAGTGTGGGCACGGACAGACTCGCGCCTCTCAATACCTCCCTTTCCTTCCCAGTCTCTTCCTCTTCCGGCTGGGCTTGGCCCCTCGGATCCACGATCTGTACGGGAAAGTGAAATTCACAGGTAAGCCCGGCTCCTTCCCTGGCCCCCACAGTCTGGGCCGGGTCCTCAGGGTACTGGGCCTGCGATGACTGGTGTCATTGCAGCCGAGGAACTCAGCAACATGGCCTCCGAACTGGCCAGATACGGCCTCCAGCTGCCTGCCTTCAGCAAGATCGGGGGCATCCTGGCCAACGAGCTCTCGGTGGACGAGGCTGCAGGTAGGGAGGGCGCTGTGCCCTGCCAGCCCTGTAAGGAGGACTCAAGCCCCACAGTCCTCGGGGAGGTTCTGACCACCGCTCAGCCTCAGACAAGCCCCTCGGGTGTGCCTGGCCCTGCCTGGTGAGGTCAAGGCGATGATATCAGAGGGCCTGCAGCTGCTCCAGCCTGGCCTGGGGCTTGTCCTGAGCCTGACCTTGCTTCCATGCCCAGTCCACGCCGCGGTGCTTGCCATCAATGAAGCCGTGGAGCGGGGAGTCGTCCGGGACACCCTGGCTGCCTTACAGAACCCCAGTGCGCTGCTGGACCATCTCCGGGAGCCTCTCGCTGCCATCTACCAGGAGCTGCTGGCCCAGGCGAAGATGGAGAAGGCGGCCAATGCCAGGAACCACGTAAGGAGGGGCCACAGGCTGGGCAGCCTGGGAAACTGGGACTCCTCCCCTCCTGTCTCTGCGTTTCAGCGTTGCTGACCGGAAGCGTAGCTTGTCAGTTATTTTAGAGAAACGGGTAGGACTTGGGCGAAGAGTGCAAATTCAAAAGCGCAGTGAGAGCAGAGGTTCTGGGCGGAGAGAGAGCCTCTGCGTGTAGACCTGGGTGAGATTTAGACTGGAGAGCCCCAAAGGTTGGCTTGACTTAACCCTGCTGGTGCCAGGCTCAGGAGCTTCGACCCCAGGATGTGCCCAGATCCTTCCTACCACACTGACCTTTGCCCTGGGGAAGACCCCCACCCTCACGCCGAGGGAAAAATAGGTGTAAAGAGGGTGGGAGCAGTAGCAGGAGTTTGCATTGGTTTGAGTCGAGAGTCCCTGTTCAAAACCGTGTTTGCAGGATGACGGGGCCAGCCAGGATATCTATGATCACCACCTCACGCAGGCCGAGATCCAGGGTAGCATCAACCACGTCAACGGTAAGAGGACCAGGCCTGTCTCAGGGAAGCAGCAGTGCATCCTCCCCCTCTCGTCTTCATCCTGCTGGAGTGTCAAGGTGGGGATCCCCGGGGAGGGCAGAGGCACAGAGGCACCTTTTGGCTCTTGGTCCTGGGGTCACTTGGATTGGAGCCCTTTGAGCAGTGTGCAGAGGGGAGGAGGCGCCCAGGGCAGGAGTGGTTGCCGGCAAGATAGGGTCGGGTGGACATCTCTTTGCCTGATTGGGTCTGGATTCCCTCCGCAGGGTTGGGGTATTGAAATGGAAAGACCTCTGAGGACCAAGGTGAAGCCTGTATGCTGGACCGAAGGGGCTTCGAGAACCTCAGGGGCAGGCAGGACAGGAAGGCAGGCGCCTGGGACTCAGCTGAGGGTAGTGTCCGTCACGGGACCTTGTTCTTTTTCAGTCCATGGGGCTCTAGAAGTCGTCGACGACGCATTGGAGAGACAGAGCCCCGAGGCTTTGCTTGCGGCCCTTCAAGACCCTGTGCTGGCCCTGCGAGGCGTGAGGAGGGACTTTGCTGACTGGTACCTGGACCAGCTGAGCTCAGACAGAGAGCAGAAGGCACAGGTCAGGCACTGGGAGCTGCTCTTCGGTCTGGCTGGGGCATGGGAGGGGCTCTGTAGTCTTTGTAGTCAGCAGGTGCTGCCTCCAGGTTTAAATGGCTAGATCTCTCTAAAGCAGTGGTTCTCAACCTTCCTAATGCCACAACCCTTTAATACAGTTCTTCATGTTGTGGTGACCCCCCCCCACCCACCGTACAATTATTTTCATTGCTACTTCATCACTGTCATTTTGCTACTGTTATGAATTGGGCGACCCCTGTGAAAGGGTCGTTCGACCCCCAAAGGGGTCGCAACCTACAGGTTGAGAACCATTGCTCTAAAGCCGCTCGGCCTAGCCGGCTCAGCCTCTCCCCCTCTGCCTGCCTAAGTCTGGCAGACAGACAAGGCCACATTCAATGTAGCAATCTCCTTTTCAATGCTGTTGACTTTCCCCTCCACACTGTGCGCCTGTGAGGCCTGCGCCTTTATTTCAGAGGTGAGATGGGTCAACGGAGTGCCTCCCAGGGAGAGGAGGGGGCAAGGTGGGAACTTGTGCAGGGCCCCTCAGGCATGCCCCAGGAAGACTCCTAGGCTTCTGTCTCCTCTTCCAGGAGCTGGGCCTGGTGGAGCTTTTGGCAAAAGAGGAGGTGCAGGCTGGCGTGACAGCGGCCAACGTGAAGGGGGACCAGGAGCGAGCCAGTAAGTCACCGCTCCCTGGCGCCGGGCCCGGGCCCTTCCAACTCCTGGCACAGCGTTTCTTCCTTCGATGGGGTCTGTGCTGGGCTGTGCACACCGCTGCCAGTTTCCAAGCCTGGCCAGGGGCTGCCCGCTCACAGAGACTGCCTGGAGGGGGTGGCACAAGCGTGTGCGTAGGGGCTCAGGTCCTGGCACGTCCGTGCTGCAGTGGGCACAAGCTTCCAGGGCAGGCAGCTTCCTTGCAGGCCCCTGGCAGCTTCAACGTGTTTGAGGCCTTGGCGCGAGTCCATTATAGTTCTGCCGTGGCGTGGATTCGGTTCCCGCTCACAGCGTCCCTGGAGGACAGGGTAGAACTACTCCTGTGAGTTTCTGAGACTGTAACTGTTTACAGCAGCGGTTCTCAACCTGTGGCTCTCGACCCCTGTGGGGGTTGAACGACCTTTTCACAGGGGTCACTCGATTCATAACAGTAGCAAAATGACAGTGATGAAGTAGTAATGAAAATAATTTTATGGTTAGGGGGTCACCACAGCATGAGGGACTGTATGAAAGGGTCGTGGCATGAGGAAGGTTGAGAACCGCTGGTTTACAGGAATAGAAAGCCCTTTCTTTCTCCCGAGGAGTGGCTGGTGGTTTCAAACTACTGACCTTGCGGACTGCAGCCCAACGCAAAACCACACCACCAGGGCTCATTAAGAACTACGGTGTCAGTCAGCCCATCCCTCACTGTCCCCCTCCAAGCGGATGAACCCGTCTTAGCAAGAAGGAAGAGCCGCAGTGCTGGGGCACAGGGGCACAGCCTGCAGACCTGCTGTCAGCCTGGAGGTTGCTCAGGGGCCCTTTGCTTTGGTCTGTCAGTGCTGTCCTGTCGCAGGCCGGTCACTCACCTCCGGGCCACTCCTGCCTCGCCGCCTGTGTTATGAACTCAGGCCACTCCTGCCCCTTGCGGTCAGAGTCACCGTGCAGTACAGGGCTGGCTGCTCCGATCCATGGAGCATCTCCAGTCCTTCATGGACTCTTTCATGATTTATTCTGGACTTTGGCCGTTCAAACCCACCAGCTCCCCTTTGGGAGAGAGATGAGGCTGTCTGCTCCTGTAAAGATTTCTAATCTCAGAAGCTCTGTGTTGGGTCACTGTCTGTCGACATCCACCGGATGGCCGTGGGCTTGACCGTTTGGGGAGAAAGATGTGGCTCTTGTAAAGAGGACAGCCGTGGAAATCTTAGCGGGCAGTTCCGTGCCCCGGAGGGCTGCCACGAGCTGGCATTGACCTGACGACACCGGGTGTAGTGCGAATGTGGTGCTTAGTCACAAAGCGGGGAGAACATGGATTGGCGGGATCACAGGGTTCTGGCCCTGGCCGCACACATACCGCACGTGAACCGCCACAGAGAATCTTAGCGCAAGCCCTGCCCCAAATCTGTGGCCTGTCTCATACTCAACAGAGACAGACCATGGGGTTTCTTTTCTAGGGACCGTTTGCAGCCCCTTCATAGAAGCCCCAGTGTTTGAAAACCGGAACTACTTTGATTCACCCTAACCCCTTATTAGCCCAGCCCCCACCCCCACCCCTGGAGGAGACCTTGATCCCCCTGTGCCTTCCTCAAGCTTGGTCCCTAGAGCCCCTTGGCTAACCTTCCTGCACAGCCACCTGTCAGCCTGTGTGTCTGACCTCCCCAGCCACAGGGGAGCCGGCTGAGCCTGGGTGGTGTGACTTCCAGGCTGGGCAGAGGCCGTACGCAGCCTCGTCCTGAAGCCCCCCCAGCCTCTTTTTCTCCAGAACAGTTAGGAACACATCCTGCACTGATCGGAAGAGTTTCTCAGAGCCGTTACAAGGCCCTCCCCCCCCCC